AAAAAGGATTCCATTTGGGTGATAGTGACCGGTTAATTAAATCGGCACATTTTATTCCGATGTGAATGGACTATGCATTGGATAAATATACAGAATTGTATATCAAGGAGATTGTTCGAATACAAGGGTATCAATATCCATTATATCGGACAGAGATCGAAGGTATTACTTAAAGACTTTGGAAATATTTGCATAAAGTGTTGGGTATTTGATTTAATTTCAGTATGATCTTTAATCCACAGACGGATGGTAAATTAAAAAAAATCTATTCAGATATTAAAAGATATGATTTGAGCATGTGTGATTGATTCTAAGGAATCATGGGAAAAGAAAAGTAATTGTTTTTAGTAGAATTTTTCTACAATGACATTATTAAATTAAGCATCAAGTAACTCCGTGTGAAGTTTTATATGGGAAAGAAAATGTCGAACACCATTGAATGGGTTCAAATTAAAAGATTGAAATTTTGTTGGCCTAGATTTATTGAAAGAGGTTTATGATAAAGTAGAGATAATTCAAGAAAATCTCAAGATGATATGTAATTGGCAAAAGTCTTATGCAGACTTGAAGTGATAGAGATGAATTTATGAAGGTGATAAGTAGTTTCTCAAGGTATCATTTTGAAAAAAAATATTGTGCGCTCAAAAAGCAAAGAAGAACTAAGCTTAAGATTCATTGGATCTTATGAGATAAAAAAAATTTAGACTGATGTATTATCAGTTAGCATTTATTATGGAGGTAATGGAGAACCAGAGTTGGACAAAGTACACAATGTTTTTCATGTATCGATACTTAGAAAGTATTGATTGGATCTTTCACATGTTATTTCATCAAAGGAAATTAAGAGCCGACCATATTTGATTAAAAAAATCAGTTTGGATATTAGCTCGAGAAATCAAAGAACTACGTAACAAGATGATTTATCTAGTTAAAGTGATTCAGAAAAATCATAATGTAGAGGACGTTACTTGGGAAAGAGAGGATGATATGAAAATGTGTAGATATTTTCATAATAGGTTGAAGAAATGAATTGAACATGTTCAAAATCTAATGATTAGCATGATCTTCTCAAAATTGTCAAATTAAGGAGGAAAAATCGGAATTTAAGAAGTGGGAAAGATCAGAAGAAATCTACAGTTAAGGCATGGGCACGTCTTACTAGTCAGTACAACCTTAAATTAAGGTTATGAATTCTCAAGGGAAAAAGGAAGTTATGGTTTTCATAGAAAGTTTTAAAATTCGATGACGAATTTTCTTAAGGAGGGGAGAATTGTAATACCCAAAAATTTAAACAATGACCAAATGAAAATTTTGAAAGTTTGATGTTAAGTAGAAATTTGGGAAAAAGTTTAGCGAATTAAGTGATAATTTCCTAAAAATAATTTTATTCCATAAATAGATGGTTTACTCTTGAGAGTGGAGTTTTATAGAAATCATATTTTTTTTGGATTTGGAATTTAGTAAAGAAAGAGTTAAAGCCGGTAAGAAATCGGTAAATTCCGATCGAATTGGAATTTTACAAAAATTTGAAGGATGTTATAAAATGGTTGGAAATATTATTTTAATATTTTATATCAGAAATTGGTCTGGAAATGTGCAAATTTTCAGATTTAACCGGAATGTGAAATTTAGTGACTAAACGCAAGTTTTGAAAATTTCAGGGCATTTTCGTAGGTCAAAGTCAAATTAAATTATATTTGACTTTGTAATATCAGATGGCTTGGTTTTATGTTGATTTTGGAGATTCATTAAGGGCAATAATGGAAATTCTTATTGAATGGAATAAAAAAATTCCATTATGATATATTATTAAGCATGTGTTGGATTAATATATCATAAAAAGCAATCATGGATGAGCAATTTCAGCTCATCTTCTTCCTCCAAGGGCCGGCACATTCAAGGAAGAAAGGTAAGCATTTTTAGTTTTAATTTTGAAGCTATTTCTTGAGAATTTGACTAAGTGTGGTTAGGAAAAATATTCTACTTTCAATTCTCTACATTTTGACATGAATATTACTAGGGTTTCATGTTCAAATCTATCTTGAGTTGATGAAGGGGATTTTGATTCTTGTGTTTTATGGGTTTTGAAGAGTTAAGTGATTTTAAAGAATTGGTTGTATGAATTGATGAAGAACATAAGGATGAGGTTAAAGAAAAACAGTTTAGATTTTGGGAATTACAGTAGGTTCGAAAATTCACCAGAAAATATATAAAAATAATTTGGAGGTTATTTTTATATATTGTGTTCATATATGGATTTAGTTTTGTTTAAAATAAACGGGAATCAATTTCAAGTTGTATACAAATAAATATGAATTTTTAACTGAGGAAAGGTCAGAAAAGTCTTACAGCAGAATTCTGTACAAAACAGATTCTGTTGGTGAACTTTGAAAATTCATCATAAATTGTAAAAAATGAATTAGATAGAGTTCTTTATATGGATAGATTCGTATTTGAGTCTAGTTTTCAATGAAAAAAACATAATTAAATTCCAGTGTGTTTATCAATACAGTTTAATGATTCTTTAAAGGTAGTACGAGTTGTCTGAATGCTGGAAATTGTTGTTTGAGAATTGAAATGAGTGTTAGATGCGAAATTGATTATTTTGGGAAGATTGAAATGATTGGTGATTTAAGTACAACAATTGCATAGTTGGGGTACTTAAATGTATTTATGCTTTTGTAAAAGCATTTGAATGGAAATAATTTCAATGTTGGAATTTTTGGTTTTAAGAATTTAAGTGGTAAAATGGTGAAGACCATTTTGAGTAAATGAAAAAAGTAGGTTCCAATGTTAAAGGAATTAATAAGTATTGAATTATTTGGTGGAAATGAGTTTGAAGTATGCTATGGAATTATTTTGGGATATGGTTATGTTAGTACAATACTAACATATTATTATAAATTTGTGATTTATACAGATCATGGTTGATTTGCAATTGAAGCAAGTCAAGTATAAAAAGGGTATATTGTGGACAATATTGAGGCTCATATATTTTGAAAGACATAAAGTGTCAAGGTGAGTGCAATACATGCATGAAATTATACATGGATGTTTTATACATCATAAGGAAGACTTGCGAAGTCGACCTTGTTATATCGGCATGATTTTATATCATTTTTATAAATTGACATTGATATGTCAGAGTATGAAACTAAAATGCATTGATCATGAAAAATGTGATATTTTACCATGAATGTTTTCGGGTATGAACTGCCCAATGTTAAATATTGATGATATACTTTGCCATGGATGGATCGAATAAAATAGACTATATGCCCAAAGTAAGTCATTGAGGGACATGGTATAGTTGGCATGGCATAGAGTATAGCAGCTGCAGGTTTATATTAGCACTATAGTGTGTAAGGACACTAAGTGCAGGTTTATATCCGGATTAGCACTATAGCGTAAGCTTAGTGTAGGTGGTGGGCACGACCTTATGTGTATTGTCCGGATTAGCACTATGACGTAAGCTTAGTGCAGGTTTAGCACTACGATGCAGGTATTTTACTCGTATACCCAGGGTCCTCAGGGTGTTATATTGGGCTATTGTCTACAGTTTATTGGCTATGTATTATGTTTTATTGGTTAATAAATGGTAACCATGCAAATAAGCTTATGAGCTTACGGAATAATGGCAAGTATATTGAAAAAAATAATAATAAGCTTATGAGCTTATGAAATTTAAATAGTAAGTATTTTGGTAAAAATAAGCTTATGAGCTTATGGGATGAAAGGTAAGAAATTTTATATTATTTTGATCATGGTAAAATATTGAAGATGCTATTAGCATGGTTTTATGGCATTGGATTTTAAATTTAAATTCATGCATGAATTGTATTGCACTATATATTGTTTTAATTGCCTCACTAAGTTTATACTTAGTGTGTGATGATTTTCACGCGTAGGTAAAAAGCAAAGAATAAGAATAAAGAGTTCAGAACGACATCAAGCATCGAGAGGTATATTTCAATATCAGTAAGACATCCTACGATGGATTTTGATTTAGATAGTGGCATGTAATTTGATAATGTTAAATTTATTTTGTTGAATAAATTTTGGAAATTGTTATAGTGATGAAAGATTAATTTTTATGAGATTTATATATTAAATTTTCGAAAGTTACTGTAGCATGAACAGTAACCCCGTTTTAAACCAAATTTTCCAGATTATAAAGGGGTACCGATTCCCCTGCTACAGGGAATCGATTCCCCCACTGTTCACTGTTCACTATTCATGTACTATTCACTATTCATAATTAAAAATATTTTGAAATTAAATTATTATAATGAAACGTAATTTTATATGATATGATATTTTTATAATATAATTTATTATTTTAAGAAAATAAATTTTAAATCGCTTTTGAATTTTGAAATGGTTTTAGAAAATACGGGTGACATCCGTAATCTGTATAGGTATAAATATACAGGTTACGTGTGTTACATACAATGTATATATATACAGTAATATAATATAAAATATAATCACAACATATACACATAGGTTATTAAACAGACAAGGGTTAAAACGAAATAACGCGCAAATAATGGGCTTACACCTCAAAGCAAAGGTAATTTCATTAGTGATTAAAATATAAATATTACAAATTATATGAAAAAAATGTGAAATAAGCCATAACATGAAAGAAATAAGCAACTGTGACTAAAATAGAATAAATCTTAAACTTGAAAGGACACACAATAATTCGACCTAAAGGCATCCATGTACAAACAATGACTAAAATAAAAGTAATTAAAATGACACATCAAATGCGAAAGTACATAAAAAAGAAGCAAACCAACATTCACGACTAAAATGAAACATTCATAACTAAAACGTACAATATTAAAACAGTGACTGAAATGTGTCGCATGTAAAGTTCAAAGGTCAAATTAAAAGAAATTAAAATTCCATTTTATGACCAAGACGAAACATTACAAAGTACAGGACCCTCCCTGCGTGATTAGACCATGAGGGAACCCTGACCCTAATTCTACTCTCCCTATTTTTGGCGTCGTTCCCTCTTTTCTCTCCACCTCTTTTTTTTTTTTCTTTGCCTTAACCCGAAAGCGGAGAATACTTTCCCCTCTGGCTGCCATCTCAGATGGTCCCGACAAAGGGCCGATGACCCCCCATGGCTCCCTAACTTTCTCCTTTTAAACCCTTGTTACACGAAACCACAAAAACCCAAATAAAACCCTTACAAACCCTCACCCTAAAATATTACCTTGGATGCTTTGAGGACTCCCTCCACTCCGGTGAAGCAAAAGAGGACCGGAATCGAGGGGTAAACTCTCTCTTTTTTGTTTATTATTTTTTTTTTCTGAGAGCTTCTCTCTTTTTTCTCTTTCTCTCTGTTTTGTTTTCCCTTTTTTCTTTTTCAATTTCCTTTCTCTTTTTTCGAATCCGAACCCCCTTATTTTTCTCAGATCTCCTCATCTTTATGGCCTCTTTGCGTGTTTGGTGAGATTTTGCATGGCTATCATCACAGGTTTGACAGGTAAGGGAAATGATTTCCTTCTTTGTTGTTTTGTTATTTGTTTTTTTTTTTCCTTTTTTTTTCCTTATTGTGTGTTTGGTGAATCTTGGCAGAGAGATGATGACATTAGCGGTTGAAATGGCGACTGTTAGGTGGCCGGAGCGGCAGCAGCGGGGGTTCTTTGCTCTAGTGGTGGCGGCGGCTGGTAGAGACTAGGGTTTAAAACCCCTAACTAATTAGGGTTAGTGCATTGGGCCTGGATTTGGGCTTTGGTTCATAAACTTTCATAAAATTTTAATATGGTCCCTAATCATTATCTCAACTTGAGATGTATTAATGATTGATAAATCTGTTTATTTGGTCATGTATTTGTGTTTTTAATTTTATAATAGGTATGATTATTGAATGTTTGAGTTCGGTTTATGTTTCGATAACATATCTGATCCAGGTTCTATCCAAATTGGATTGAGTGTGTTACAAAAAAGGTGGTCCATGACTAGGAGGCAAAATCAATAAATTTAAATATTTAAAAGAATGTATTTTTCTAGTCTGAAACATCAGCCAACAAATGATGCATTTTCTGAATGGGATCTGTGCATATCTAGGTTGAGATGTCTGTTTATGAATCAATTGATTATCTCTTATCTTTTCAATGTAACTTGAAACACGTCAATCCAATGTAAAGAGCTCAAGTTACGTTCGTTTTAGTGAATAATATGTGAGCATATATTTCTATACGGGTTCAACACGAAAATTTTAATTTATTACAAATTTTTGTCTTGGTTTGTTCACTGCTAGTTCTTGATGCAAATATTTGGTAATTGTTAGTTTGCTCTTAGTGCTGGATACTACAATCAAAATGGCCATGAGTATATTGAAACAGTTGATGGTCTTATCTTTCAATGTAACTTGAACACGTCAATCCAATGTAAAGAGCTCAAGTTACGTTCGTTTTAGTGAATAATATGTGAGCATATATTTCTATACGGGTTCAACACGAAATTTTAATTTATTACAAATTTTGTCTTGGTTTGTTCACTGCTAGTTCTTGATGCAATATTTGGTAATTGTTAGTTTGCTCTTAGTGCTGGATACTACAATCAAATTGGCCATGAGTATATTGAAACAGTTGATGGTCAAGCTACTGTTCTGAGAAAAGAAAAGGTTTTGTGATCCCACTGTATCAAAGATTTTCAGGTTCATCAGAGAAATTAATTGTATTTCAATTCTTTGTCGGTTGTTGCTTCTTCTCCAAGGTGTAGTATGGAACTTTATAGCTTAACGACTAAGTGTCCATGACAAAAAATATATATGGGGAGAGTCAAGAGTTTAATAGCCTTGGTCTCCTTAACCAAACAAAATAGGGTGCCTTCTTGTCTAAGAGATGCTTCAGATTATACCCGGGAATTTGAAGCTTAATTGCCTTGCTTTCACCAAAAAGAAAGTCTTAATAAGTGAGAAGGACAATAAAGATGAAGAAAGAAAATTCTTTGAAAGATGTAAAATTTTTTATATTTTTATTGATTATTTGTTATTATATTCAACCTATAAATCTATTTTAATATATTTATATAAGATAATATCATTTTTATAATTTATTTATTAGTTTTGTGGTTTAGATAAATTTTGTTTATTTATTTTATTATCATCTTATCTTTTCCTATTTCAAGTTAAACTCCTTATTTGTAGCCCATTTAAAGGTATAATTAATAAAATTAGGAGATTTAAGTTTAGGTTGATTATTTCACCTTGATTATGTTTGGCATAACGGAAACATTACCTCAAAGTTTGCACAAAGTGATAATTTTACGGTCTATTCTTTTTCTAGAACATTTTAGTCCTAATGTTTTAATTTTTTGTCAAAACAGATTTTGATGGATGGAAATCACTAATTGACTAATGGTCAACACATGTTGTTAATGTAATATTTTCTCATGTGAACAATTACTGACGTGACATGTGCTAAATCATCTAAAGTGATGATGTGACATGATGATAATAGTAAGAAAAACATGTATTTCACCCTGACTTAATGAATGTTTTGCTCTCATTTCATGCATTTTAGCACTACTGTTGTAGCATTACATGTCGCTGCATTGCATTCTAAACTCAGTGTTCGTAGGTTGCTCTTTTTGGTTTTTTTACCTACCATTAATGTAGCTGCAAAAGAATTGTTAGAACGCACCCAGGTTTGTCGCAGCAATTTTCCAACTATCACAGTTTATAAAAGAAAGAAAGGACGATGAGCTAGCCCTCACCCCAACTAATTGTACGGCCAAATCATGCTGATGGAATTGAGGACACCTGGTCAGACTATTATAAAAGGAAATGATGATAGATTTTTCAAAAAACTTCATACCATCATATTCTTCCTTTGTATCAAGCTCTTCCTCAAAATGACCATGTCTGTTTGAACCCATCCTTGGATGTTGGAGGTGAACCCGATGCTACTGCAAGTTGTGGGGCAAGAGATAAGATTGAGAAGACGAGTGTAACTAGGAATAATTTCACCTTCTCTTCTTGATTTTATTTTATGCTTGAAAACTAATGATTATGTTTAAAGTTTTTTACTATGGAAGTACTTTGTGGATGAAGATCGAATGTTATTCTATGAATCGTGTTATTATGTTTAATATTTGAGTTTAAATGCTATTTGCACGGAAGTGTTTTATTGCAGTCACCGAAATATGCAACGACAATTTAAGTTAATAAGCATGTCGATGAAAGTTGCATGAGATTCAACAAAAGTTAGTCACTTCATTATTTTCTTTATTATACAACTAATCGCACCGAAAATTGTAAACATTTAACTTCTATTCCTCGTGGGATCAATATCCGGTAGCTAGTACTATTTACTATACTTACATCGACAAGTGTTGCTTTCTCTTTTTGCGGTGACATTTTAAAACAATCAAGTTTTGGCGTCGTTATCGGGAACGACTTAGTTTGAGATTTATTTTTGTTTTCTTATTTATTTTATATCATATTTTTAATTACTACTAACTTTGTTTATTTATACAACTTTCTTGTAGGTATTTTAGACTAGGAATTACCAAGGATACTTTTGAGCTTGACCCAAAGATTGAAAGAACCTTGAGAAGGAGAATTCAGAAAAAAAGAGGAATGACCTTACCAGTTCCTAGTGCAACGATACCTCTAGGGAAAATACAAAACCTTGATGACAATGATCCAAAGCAGCCACAAAATGATCAATTTCAACACATGAATATAAGAGATTATGTAGTGCATGTTTTAGATGATTTGCAACCTAGACTGGTTGGACCAGAAATTCAAGCTGGCAACTTTGAGTTTAAACCGATATTGTTTCAAATGTTGAATTCAAATGGGAAATATGCAGTTTTGTCACATGAAGACGCAAGGGGGCATCTCATATCCTTTTTATTAATTTGTGCTTCATTTAATCAACAAGGTGTTCCTGATGAAGCTTTAAAAATACAAATGTTTCCATATTCATTGTAGCGACGTGCTCGCACTTAGTTTCTAGGATTTCTGACAGGATCTATTACTTCTTGGAATGAATTGGTGACTCATTTTTTTTTTGTTTTCAATCCGTCGACAATGAATACTCGTTTAAGAAATGATATTAATTCTTTAATCAACTAGATGGGGAGAATCTACATACTACATGGGAGTGTTATAAACCATTGTTGCGACGTTACCCCATGCATGGTATTCAACAAGAAACACATATTGATATTTTCTATAATGGGTAGAACTCTCAAACTAGGAATGTTGTCGACGCATCGACCAATGAGAAGTTGTTGGATTGTATGTATCTTGAAGCAGTTGCAATTCTATAAAGAATTTCACAAAATGACTATCAATATCGTATTTCTCAAGCTGTAACTGGAAAAGCTTCACATAAGTTATTGAATTAGATACAATCTCTGCTATCAGTGTACAAGTTTCTACACTCACCTATTTGATTAAGAATACGCAAGGGACTGTCGAGGTAGCACCCATTCAAGTTGCTAAACAAATTGATGTCCCTGCATTCTGTTGTGAGATTTACGGTGATAATCATAGTTATGAAGCTTGTCCTCAACATGCAGAGAATTTTTTCTATGTGAATAACATCCAGAGTAGCTCTTATGGGTATTATTATGGAAATACTTCTCGGACTCAATATTCTTGGGGAAATCAGAATCTTGGGCAAAATGCTGACACATTTCATTACGGGAGCAATTCTGCCTCAAGCAATCACAACCACAGACAAGGGAACTATAATAAAAAATAGATGACATACAATCAGTAGACCCCGATGCTAACACAACAATTTTTGGTATAGCTACAACAACCTCAGACGCAAAACCAAAATATGCAGACATTTAGATCACCACAACATCTGATCCATTAGCATCTCTTCAAGCTTTAATTTGAGAGCATATCTCTGGAATTGAAGCAACTGTGCAAGGAAATTCTTCATGGATTCGTGCTTTAAAAGCTCTGTTTGGATCACTTGCTACAACTATGTATACTAGACCGCAAGTCAATCTGCCTAGTGACACGCAAAGTCCTAAGCAAAGAGATAAAGAGCATTGCAAAGCTATTACTCTAAGAAGTGGTAAACAACTGGAGGAAAAAAATTAAAGAAGCTGAAGCACCAACTCCTGAGAATGTTGAATTGACTCATGAAGAGAAAGAAAAAACTAAAGAGAGTTTTTAGGTATCAGAAAAAGGAACTCAAACACTTGTCAACGATATTACCGAGTGCATCACATTCAAAATTACCGTCACAGTCGAGAATGTCGACACAGTTGAAAATGTAGACGTAATATGGAGTGTCACCGCCTCTACCTATTCCAAAAAGATTCAAGGACAGTGAACACGACAAGAAATTTAAACAGTTCTTGGAAATGACGAAGCAACTCCATGCGAATATTCTTTTATTGAACGCATTAGTGCAAATTCCTAACTATGGGAAATATATGAAGGAGCTATTGTCCAAGAAAAAAAAATTGAATGAAATGGGACCATTACGCTCACAAAAGGGTGTAGTGCCATACTGATTAACAAATTGCCTAAAAAATTGTAAGATCCTGGAAGATTCACCATCCCATGTTCAATTGGAATCATTATGTGGGAAAGGCTTTATGCGACTTGGGAGCAAGCATTAACTTGATGCTGCTATCTACTTTCAGGAAGCTATGAATTGGCCACATGAAGTCCACAACTAGCTAACAGATCATTAGCTCAACTGGAAGGATAAATCAAGGATGTCATTGTAAGAGTTGACAAGTTTGTTTTTCCGGCAGACTTTCTTATACTTGATTGCATGAAGTCCACAACTAGCTAACAGATCATTAGCTCAACTGGAAGGATAAATCAAGGATGTCATTGTAAGAGTTGACAAGTTTGTTTTTCCGGCAGACTTTCTTATACTTG